AATCAAATAGTGTAATCCGAGACAATGAGCAATAACGATCATCGAATAGCTTAAAACAAAAATTCGAAACTAAATATCGTTTCACATTTCGTCAGCGCGAATTTCACAATGGACGACAAATTAACGCTCCACAAGCGTTGTTCAAATAGACAAAAAATTTCATTACCGGTAAATACACACGGACTGATATTTATTTTGTAACAAAATATTTATTCTGTAAAAGAAGAATTAAATCGCGAAAATTAAACACGAAGTAAAGAAAATAAAATTGTATGTACGAGAGTTTTTAACGCGTTATGGTCGCAGCTTTTAATTTCCTTCCATTTAGAAGACATCTACGGTGTGTACCGGTAAAAATAGCAAGCTATGAAACAGAAAGCACGACGCTACTTAATGTTTCTCCCCAGCGCCGTTAACGCGGATCGAATCGCTCGTAACGTTGACAGTGGCCGAGCCCCTTTTACCAACGTAAACTCGAATGACTGAGAGACACCATTTCAGCTAAAGCATCTCGATATTGTGTTCGAGTGGCGTCGAGTGTCGGCAGGGGATGACTTTAGTTACGCCATGTTAGTTACGCAATGCTTACTTCGCGATAAATTATATTCCTGGCTGAAGAGCACACGGCGTTAAACTAAACGTTAGATCGATTCAAATTTATTCTCACGATCTTATCTCGGTGCAGAGGTATCGCTAACAAGAATCTTGTCGTTCCGATTCGAGGAAGACATCTTGTTAGAACGAGTGCACTCTCACAAGTATTCTATAGGGAACCACGAGGAAATTGACAGACTGAATCCCTATTTTATTATTATGGAAGTTTGCAAGTCTCATAATTCCAAAATTCCGAAGTACCTAAATTTCAAGTCCCGAAACTGAGACCGTCGCCAACTTCCCGTCAGATCCTTGGCAACCACAGGGAATGTTCAACTGTCTGAAAAATCTTTGTGGACACAGTCGATGAATTTATCAAAGAGTGCCTAAAATAACACCTCGGTGGAAAAGCGAGGCGAAATATTGGATTTTTCTAGTCGGGAAAAAGTGTGGTTTGAAAGTGTATCGAATGTATTTCGCGTGCAATAGTGGCTGGCGTGCACACTTCGACGGCCGTTCACAACGAAATTTAGAGCGAAAAAATACAACTTATAACCGGATTAGGCGAGATAAGATCTCAGATTGGTGGAACTTAATTTAAATCGATTACAGTCACGCAAAGAACTACATCTTTGAATGTATGCACTTCCATGATCTTTTGCTTTTTAAGCTTTAATTGTGCGACACAAAAAGAATTTAGAATTTTTATTATACTTCCTAGTATATTAATAAAGTTTAGCGGTATAATTATTGATTTCTTCGAACTACTTCGATCAGTACAAATCTCTGGATGAAAGATAATATGGAATAATCAACAAGTATTTCTCTGTACTGCATCCTTCGCCGTCTTAATTACGACGTTTTAATTAAAAGTCTGAGCAGTATTAGTTTCCAGTTAATCACGGCACGTTGCATCGTTATCCAACTACACTCTCAGCAATTTATCAATCGCGAATTGCACAAAATGTTAGAAATAGAATTGCACCACAGAATTTGGTCGATGATATTCATAAAAAAATAGTGGAATTTCTCATATTTTTTTATCGTGTTACGTTTGAAATTTTTAGATAGCATCGAAGCTGAGAATCACTTTTTCGAAAAATACGTTATTGAAACTTTGATGGCTCAACGCCAAACCAATCACAAGGCAATCTTTTTCAAAATGACATCCCGTAAATTATGCCACTGCCTTTCCAGGCATATGCTACCGTTTCTATACATCCACATGTAACAAACGCGGTACGTGGTTACGGTTGAAGTTGCCTTTATGGTCATGTTGTTCGCATCAAGTCTACCTATTACCATCCACCTTATTTGCTCAGGACTGCGGTTCTCCTTTCAATTCCACATCAAACGGGATATAATCCCGCAATATATGAGCCTCATTTGTAACTTGTAATCTCACGCGAAATGTTCGACATAATTCAGAATTAGGCTTCCGCTTTTAGAGTGTCATAGTTTGGACATTCGTAAAATATCCTTTGTGATCTTCATTCGCATAGAAAGTTCCGATAGTCATTATTTCGGTTAAGTACGTTTTTACGGAAATAACGAGTTCGAACTGTGCAACGACAGAAATTAAATTTCATTTTACTAGTTTTATTTTATTAGAAATATTCTTTAAACAATGACCTCAGCGTGAAAATACGGTGTCTTTACACCCCGTTTACCATGAACGGTCCCCTTGTCCCACGAATCAATTATCATTTCATTCCGACGAAATTACCGAACATTCAATGCGGCTCCCTGTCGGATTAGAGATCGATTTTCCAAAAAAGCGCAAAAATTTTCACGAGTTGACATAAGCGGCTTAGCGGCGTGTGTCTACAGCAGCTGCTCTATCGATCTATCGAAACCTATCTCTTTATATATTGTTCATAGCAGGAACATTAATCCTATAAATACCAAAATTATCCGATAAGGGCTGTTCATAGAAAAGAACGTAGACATCGCATCGTGTAATCATTCGCCTAGGCACAGATTTCTCTGCTCGAACAAAGGGATCAAACTTTGCAACCACCAAATATGGTATGAAAATATCGTTGGGTCATACACTGTTTTTTTCACCCTTCAAATATTTCACATTTATAATCAGAATATGTTCTACGTCATACGAGTTTTATTTTTTTTATTATTACGCGGTTTTAAGAATGATTCCACTGGCGCGATCTAGCGGTGCAGAAGGAAATTGACGAAACAAGGAGTTAAGATTCTTTTATAAATTAGCCGATTTCTGTAGTTAATTGTTACTAGGTCTGTTTGATTGAGGCGCTCCGCGCCAAACCTGACAATGTTGAGCGAGCGATACGTACATGAGCCGCCTATGACAATTCAACTGCGCATGCAAAGTGCAATATTCCGGCACTTTGACGACGTACTATGGTTCCTGAGGCATTTAGAAACAAATTTCTATTAGGGTT